CTTCAGTTTTTCCAGCTGGAAGAATCATATGTCATTCCATATTTGCATGCAAGCTCAAAACTTGCCCTAGCTCTTGTTTTCTTTGCAAGTTCTCCCAATTACCCCCAAAATTTTCTGTTCACAGTTTTTAGAAAATAGCAATAATGAAAGTAGAATAACAGAAATTCCTCCAGCAACTCCTTCATTCCCACACAAATGTTAATTAAGTACCAATTACATATAAACAAGTGGACTAGACAATATAGAAGATTCTATAGGAGAAGATTAAAATGTTTGCCACAGTGGTTTCCCATTTTACCATGTAAAGTACTGTGTTTGTCCATCCATTCCGGATAGTTCTCTGCATCTTTTCCACCAGGATTTACTCTCTCTGAGGGAATACGCTCTCTTCCCTCCAGTACAAGTGTCCAAGCCACCTTGGAGAATTTGGCTCCTTAGTGTCTTCTTTCAAGAGGTTTCTGATAATTTGAGTTTTCAAATAGCCTTTCTTCATTTGTGATTTAAAATGTGACTGAGCCCTAACCAGTTTGGCTCAGTAGATAGAGCGTCAGCCTGCGGACTAAAGGGCCCCGGGTTCGATTCCGGCCAACGGCATGTACCTTGGTTGTAGGCACATCCCCAGTTGGGGGTGTGCAGGAGGCAGCTGATCGATGTTTCTCTCTCATCGATGTTTCTAACTCTCTATCCCTCTCCCTTCCTCTCTGTGAAAAAAAATCAATAAAATATATATTAAAAAAATAAAAAAATAAAATGTGACTGACTTGGAAGAGCACCCAACTTAGACTCAAAAACAGGAAGTGAAAAGACAAATATGAGTCCAGTCTCATGGTGAGCAACCTCTGGGGCACAAGTGTGGTATGAGATGATTATATACAGTTTGAGAGGACTACCCCAAAGCTGAAACATGACAAAATTGGAAATTATTACTATATTAGAGGCCTGGTGCACGGATTTGTGCACCGTTGGGGTCCCTTGGCTTAGCCCCTTGGCTTAGCCTGTAGGGATTGGCCGAAACCGGTGCCTGTCGCTCCTGTTCATCCTGGCCCTGCTGTGCCTGTTGCTGCCACTGCTCAGTAGGCTCACTGCCGCTCCGCTGCAGTTTCTGGGCTGCAGCAGCCAGCTGTGAGCCCTGCGTCTGGCACCCGCCGGTCAGCTGAGCGGCACTCCCACTGTGGGAGCACACTGACCACCAAGGGGCAGCTCCTGCATTGAGCGTCTGCCTCCTGGTGGCCAGTGTGCATCATAGCGACCGATCAACCGGTCGTTCAGTAGCTTTAGGTTTTTATATATACAGATTGTATATAAAAACAAAAGTTGTTTATGGAGAGAGCTCTCTTATTTCTATTAGTACTTAAGAATAAGGAAAACTAAGGGACTACATTAATATAGTTGTCATTAATGAAGTATTTCAGTTGTTTATCTCAAATATATTAAAGAGGATTTGTTTGAAGATTTTTAATAAAAAATGTAAAAGAATTATTTCTTTTGTAGGATTAAATTATTAAGCAATTCAAAGAAAAACAGACAGAAGATAGGTGTATCACTTAAGTTTTAACATTTCTCATATTTCTGAGTGAAGCAATATATTCAACCTTAAATCTTTGTTTAATATTCAAAAGTTAAAAACTAAGTATACAAACACACGGTTATTCTGTAAAAATAATCATGTGTGTTAAAATTCTCCAGAAACATTTACTTTTTTGGCTAATAGATATTTTAATATCTGCTGTATTTGGTGGCAAAAATATCCCTCATAGTCGATTAATATTTTAAATAGATGGTTCATTTCCCAATGATGCCATGAGTATTTGTTTTAATTCGTTTTTGAAATACTCATTAGTTTTCTTATGTAGCTCTACAATTAATATGGAAAGTAAAACCAAACAACTGCTTTAAAAATTTAAAAATGAAGCTAACATAGCTTCAGTACTGCCTGTCATCTAGGAAAGATGCACCCTGAGAGCTACTAAGAGATTTTCTGGAATGTTCCCATGCTTCTGGCCCACATACTTTGTCATTTCAATAGCGTTTTCCCTTCCTATTTTAGTGTGACCCAGTGATAAGGCTACAAAGACTCATTACCATCCTTGTCTTTAGAGAGCACCTTGTCTTTAGTGAGCAATGGAATCATTACTTCCACAAACATTTGCAGAGCACCTACTATGCGCAGGCACTACTCCAGACAGTAAGAGTTAGTCCTGGCAAAACAAAATTCCTTCATGGAGCTTACACTCCAATTGAGGGAACAACAAAATCAACTTCCTAAAAAGGGGAGCAGTGAGGGGAAGCAAAGGCCTTTGGTAGGTGCCAAGTTGTCTAAGCAAGACACCATTTGCTTTTTGGCTTCACATTTCTTTCAGGAAGGACACTCCAACTGCAGGCTCCTGAGGGTGTAGATGCTGGTTCTTTTCTTTTTTTAGTCTGCAAACCTGATTTCGATCATGGCCATCGGGGATGTCATTTACCACTGCCCTAACAACATTCCTGAGTGGCTTCCATGCTTCCTCTCTTGTAAGTAGAGTATATAGGGCTCAGGGTCAGGAGAGAAGGGCCTTGGAAACAGTGTTATTCCAACCCCAAATACCTAACTCCATAGAACAAGATAAAAATAATGTAAGATTTTATGCTTTCACATCCCTCGTGGTTATAACCATAGCCATCCTTAAGGACATTTAATTTTTTTATATGGGAAGAGTAATAAACATAGAAGTCAGCAGCTCCTTATTTAAATAGAGGTCAGCATACTTATTATACACAAAACTGAAGGCTTTTGCTGAGGGCAGTTAACCCTGTGTAAATGTGGTAAAAGAATAATGTCAAAAACTTAGAGGTTGAAAGTTTGGAAAATCATGACACCTCCCCCAAATGTAGGTACACAGAACTTTTGTACACAATCAAAGCGGAACCACATGTCTTCTAAAGCCTTTTTTGTCCCCTTGCCCACCACTTCCCCACAAAATACTGCCCAGGACTGTGGCTTCCTAGAGCAGAGGTTAGGAAACCTTTTCCGTAAAGAGTCAGATACATTTTTCAGTTCTGCCACATAAGGTCTTTGTCACAGTGATTCAACTCTATCTCTGTGACTGGAAAGCAGCCACAGACCATAAGTGAACAAATGACTATGGCTGTGTTCCAATAGAATTTTATTTATGAACACAAATTTGAATTTCTTATATTTTCACATGTCATGAAATATAATTCTGTTTATTTTTTTCAAATATTATAAAACATAAAAACCATTCTTAGCTTGTAGGCCCTACCAAAACAAATGGTGCAATGGGTTTGGCCACAGGCTATAGTTTGTCAACCCCTGTCCCAGAGGGTCACAGCAGGGGCCCAGTCCTTATTTGTAGTCAGAGCCCAGCACAGGGCCTGACCCTAAATAATCAATCAAGAGATAGATGTTCCTTTGTCCTGTGGAGGCTTGCTTGCAATGTTGAGAAAAACTAGGGAGCAAAAATTGAGAAATGCTCTGATTCCATATCTGCTCTTAGTTCTGTCTGAACATCACACTCTCTTTGGACTCAACTTCCCTATCTGTAGAATAAAGCATACTATTAGTTGCTTTATAAACTATCTTCTACCTCTGAACTCCTACGGTCCTTCATTTGCAACAAAGTAAGAGAAAACTATACTCACGAACAGGTCAAAAATACAAGGTCAACTCTAAATGAGCTCACACAAGTTCCTTTACACAGGTGAAGGCAAAACTTTTGGAATAGGGAAGAGGTGCTGCATTTGGGGAAAGTGTGTATCTGAAAATCACTAGCAAGATGGCAACTTACTGTCCAAAGGGAAACCCCATATTTCAACATACCTCTTCACTGTCACACAAGGGCCTAAGCCAAAACTTGTCGGATGCACCATAGTAAGATGGTTAGAGTAGTATATTAGATGAATTTTCTTTAGAGAAAAACAGCTCCCCTAAACAAACTGCGATCATTTCATTTTGTTGTACATTATATACTTAGTGTTACTTGAGGGAGACACACAGGTAAGGAAAGGGAATGGCAGGAGTACTGACTTGGAGAGAGAGAGAGTGAGAACGGTAGGTGAGGGCCCAGCAGAGAAACTTAGGAGCACATCTGCTAACTAAGGCAATGGTGTTAACATCAGATTGGCAACTGGAGTCCCCCTTCCTATTCAAGAATAACTGGGAACTCTCAAAAGGCAGGATACAGGTAAGCAATTAGAAATCTATGGCAGGTAAGAAATCACCAGGACCTAAAGTAAGGGAGGACGAATGGGGCTTACTATCAGAGAAACACTTAATAGAATCTAAACAAATTGGTAGCTAGCTAGGCATGGGAAAGTGGAGGGAAGGAAACGGTCTGCTGTCTTAGGAAATGGGGAGATCATGGTATAACCAATTAGGGTGCAGAATTCAAGAATAGGGGTACTAGGTAAACCCTCATTGAAAGGCATTTCTGATTATTAAATGGGTTAGCATAATAAGGATCATGATTTCTAATCAACACTGGTTATACTTAGATTCTTTTTTTTTTTTGGTGCCCATGACCAGAATCGAACCTGGGACCCTTGAGTCCACAGGCCAACGCTCTATCCACTGAGCCAAACTAGTCAGGGCTATACTTAGATTCTTAACATGAGATTCAGTGTCTAAGATGTATAAAGGTAGGTGGCTTCAGAATAAAACTTCTTGTAAAACAAATACCAACATTAACCTATTTAGAGTGAGACGCTGTTTAATGCAAGTCAATGTGATGGTAGTTTGTGGGTGCCAAATTAAATAGACTCGCCAGTTCTGAGTCTATGAGAGAAGTGCCAAAGGCTTCAAGAAAAGAGAAGCTGGCAAATTCTCTCAACGGTTAATCAGACATCTGTTACAGACTCTGCAGGTTCCTTGCCATCTAGAGTAGGACAGACACAGAAAGAAGGAGCACCTGCACCCCTTTGAAAAATCATCACACATGCTGAGTTAACAGTCCATGGCCATTGACAGGGGCAACAACCGCTGAGCTGCTCACCTAGACACTCACCTTTTCCATTAACAGCCAATCCCGTGGCCATGGCTGCAGTCACGGAGCCAGACACCTGAGGCACTAGTGGGTGTATTCGGGGCCTGCTCCCCATTCTAGCTCGCTCTGCACCAGGGCCCAATAAAGCTCCGACTGGCTTTTCAGCTGCCACTTCTGGTGCCACGGTGTCCTCTTGACCCTGCTCAATGGGGTCCAGCTTCTCAGGGCTCTCACTCTGAAAGCCATCCACTGTGGTCCTGCTCTTAATGGGACTCTTAGGCACAAGTATCTTTATACCTGATTTTGCTAAGTCCATATTCTTTCGGTTCGAGAGAGATGGAGTTGTGTTTTTCCTGAACTTCTGGCTGGCAGCAAATAACTGACTGTTTTTGGACTCAGTGTCTTTGCCAATCACTAGTGATTTGGGAGTGGTCTTAGAAAAGTTGCTGTTGGTGGATCTGGAAATCTGTTTCCTGGCATTGTTTGGAGAGGTTCTATTTGTTCTGGTTAATGTGCTTTCTTTCTGCTTTTCAGTGTGGCGTCTGTTAAAATCATGAATGTATTCCTCACAGTTCACAAGATGCTGTTCTGGTTCCCAAGTGTCATCCTCACTGTCGTATCCTTTCCACCGAACCAAATATTCTGTCTTCCCTTTTTTGTTTTTCCTTTTGTCAACAATGCTTTCTACCTGTTTATAAAAGAAAAGAAAAGATGTATAAACATAATATCTAAAAAATACAAGCCTAATAATATCAAAAATAATAAAAACCAAACAGTGAAAATGATCTTCTCTTCCCTAAATCAAATTATCTGAAAACAGAAAAGTAACAGAACATATGTAATTTTTGCAATTTCCTTGAAATTAAGTCAAACAAAATACAGTAACAGTCATCCACAGTCTTTTGCCTGGTCATCCTTAAGTTACCAACAGCAGGCACTCAAGCAATAAATTGGCTGTGGTAAATGCACAAACCTATGAAGGGCTAAGAGCCTTTGAGGTGTGGAACTGGCTCACAGAGGAAACATTATTGCACTCCAAGTATCCTTTAGAAACACTCAGTGAAAATTAAAAAGGTTAACAGAAAACATAATGCTTTATTGGTAATAAAACAATCTAGAATGGTTAGGTTATTTACCTTCAAATCTTGGTTTTAACTAATTTTACGCTATCATCTTTAAAGGAAGATGCTGTTAATCTTTGAACTGATGATCAATATATACCATATCAAATTTATACCTTTCCATAAAACATTATTACTGTGATAAATTCTACTACCTTAACATCCTAAATGTAAATGGGAAATCTTCTATGGCTCACATGAACAAAATATACTTGACATAATGTCCTCCATGTTATTGGAGAAATATTTAGAATCTCGTTACCTCTCCAGTTAACATAAAAACCATGGGCCTACTTCCCCAATGGCAGCATGTACCTCCAAACCTTGTAAGTAGAGGGCTACAGTCATACAGCTATTTAATTAAGGACACAAAGGTCTAAGCCTATCAGTTATCATGAACATCAATAACTTTCTGGCAAAGTATAGGTCAGATGACATAATAGTGTATTTAGTTCCAAAACAACAGAGGCTAATTGAATACAACCACAGACACTTTTGGAAAATGGGAGAATAACCCACCCCCCATCATTTCCCCTACTCTCAATCCCCACTCCCACCCCAACTCTCAAATATATTTTCCTGGATTTAGAGAATTAGAGCCCTTAACTATAGACAAGCCTAAAATTAAATCACATTGTTGCTCCTGTTCAAAAAGGATTAAGGGTAAAGAAAGGCCTTTTTTAGCAGATGGCAGATTGCATGCCTAAAAGATCTCCACAGAGCTGATAAGTAATACCAGATCTGCATATGTAAGTCCACACAATTCATAATGTAGCATGGAGAGCTTTGAAAATGTCCCCCCGTCCCCGCTGCGCCCCACTCTGCCCGCTCCTTTGCTTGTGAAGAACTATGTATAAAGGCAAAAGTATTTCAACTTAAGTAAAACACGTACTTCTGGAAAATTCCATGTAAATCAGTTTCGTGGTAGAAAAAATTTAATAAGTTTTAAATACAAGGGGTAAAGAGACTGTCCCAAGACAAAAGTATGTTTAATAGTAATTTTTTTCTCAATCAATTACCATTCCAGAAACATAAGTACAGTAAACCAGAGGACCCCATTTCCCTTCCTTCCATTTCCTTAAAGCTAAAGCAGGGGGCTGATGAAGTGTCTTTGGAGTGTACCCCTGGAACCTTCTTTTGCCAGTCCCCTCCCCCCGCACCAGTTCTGCCTCTCTCTCAGGAAAACTACAGGAGGTACAACAGGAATCAGTTTAGCAGCTGCGGTGGGTATATGTGCTGTGTTTTCTGTATACTCAGTGGCCAGCTTTGTTTAGACACTGAAAGAAGGCAGTAACAGGGGAAATACTAGATCAGGCGTTGGTAAACATTATGTAAAGGACCACATGGGCCATGTGGTCTGCCAGCTACTCAACTCTGCCACTGTAGCACCAAAGCAGCCACAAACAACAAGTGAATGAGGTGGTATTAAACAAACAAATGAACATACACACACCCAAAAAACTATTTATGGACACTAAAATTAGGATCTTGCAATTTTCATGTGTCAAAAAATATTACTACTTTTGGTGTTTTTTTTCAACGATTAACAATCACGACAGGTCTCTAATACCAACTTCAGACTAAACTGGGGACATGAACATCCCTCCCCCCACCCCCACCCCCCGCACCCCCGCTTCAATACAAGGACATATGTCCTCCTTCTTTGAAAGTTTAAACAGAAAGTCCTGTTGATTCCTACTCTGAGTTGCTAAAATAAATTATCTCCCACAAAAAGGTATCACCTGAATTCCACAAAATGTTTTACTGGCATATTAAGCCTAAAATTTTATAGTTGTGAGGGAGGATAACCACAAGAGACACACATAAATAAATCTTTTCTCAGGTTTCTAGTCCCTTCCCCTTGAGTTCTCCCTCTTCCTGACAATATAACTTTCTGAAAAACAGTATCAACAAACTGTCTTTCTCAAAGTATATAATGCAGGGTTCCACTTCTAGTTACAGAATTTCAATGCAAAGAACTTTATACAAAACCAGGTCTTCACAGAAGTACAGAATTGCAGATAATTACTACTAGATTTTTAAAGACCAAGACAAAATGAAGGCATAAAAATCTCATCTACATTACCTAGGTATTGTTTTGCAATGTTACCCACAATCATATGTGGAATAAAATTCTGGCAAATACAAATCATAACAGCTTTTTTTGAGTACCAATGGCATAGGAAATTGACCAAAGTTCTCTTGTTAGAATTTCCTTCTAAAACTCAATCTAGAAAAACAAAATGTGAAACAAGTAAAACCAGGCTTTTCTTAGTATTATAAAGTCCTCTGATGATTTACAGAGCAGTAAAACTAATCAAAAAGGGTCATTCCAAACACAGAACCCATTTTACCTACCTCAGAGCACAGTCCAGTATCTCTAGGCACAGGAATGTGCTGAAATGTGCTACAGGGTTGCAGAAGGCAGAAATAAAAGGATAGGCAAAAGGTTTGCTAACACATGAACAAAAAAATCCAAGGCGAAACCCAAACTGGTTAAAGAGCTCAGTAAGAGAAGGATGAAAGAGTAACTGTCATTGTTGCAGTTGAAATACCAAATAGTCTGAGAAACACTATCAGGGCAAAGCATGTAAATATATTGGCTTACAAGAAAAAGACCAAAGTTGCAAAATATACTCAGCAGGAAAAGTTTGTCACATTGTATCATCATCAATAACTGTGTCAGCACCCATACTGGTTGTTAATACTTGCTTGGATGCCTCAGAGAACAGTGTAAATAGGCTGTCAGAATAACTTTGAAAAAACAAGCAACGATGAAAGCTTTTCTTGGGTTTGGGTCTTACACCAAGGGCTGGATAATCCTAATAAAAGAGTAATATGCAAAATAACTGTTACTCCATCACAAAGATGGTGGCGCCCAGTCCCCTCAGCCCCGCCACTGAAGTGTCCAGACCTGTTGGCCAGACAGGTGGCGGAGGAGATGGGGGGTGGGGGAGGGGGGCCAAGGGGTGGAGCTGGCGATCAGAGGGGGCAGGAGTGGAGCCGGCGATTAGAGGGGGCAGGGGCGGAGTCGGTGATTGGAGGGGGCAGGGGCGGAGCTGGCTCCAAGGGGAGCAGGGAGCGGGCCTAAGCCGTCAGTAGGCTATCCCCTGAGGGCTCCCAGTATGTTGAGAGGGGGCAGGCTGGGCTGAGGGACCCCCCCCTCCGTGCACGAATTTTGTGCATCAGCCCCCTTGTTTGAATAGAGCATCACTATAATAAATAAATAAATAAATAATAAATAAATAAATAAATAAATAAATAAATAAAACCCTTATACCAAAGAATTCTGGTGGGCCTTGGGAAAGCAACAGCTCTTTAGATGAGGAAGATCCGTTTTTCACCAGCCATCTGAAACTTACCTTAACTAAGAACAGTTGTTAACTAGTAAGAAAACAGGCGGATAGTTCTACTGCAAGATATAGAGGAATAATATAAACATAACTATTTGACAGCACTAGAAAGAAACCAAGAGCCCAACACTAAGGAGGCTGGACTCTTAAAACAAGGGGACTCAATGACTTCTGTGCTCCCTAATTTGCTGCTGACAGTCAGAAAGTGGAGTCTTACAGGCTTTAGTGTCAGAGTGCTGAGTCAGGAGTGAACAGAATGGCTAAAACCTGAGGAAGAGATCACAAAGAGAACCCCCCCCCACACACACACATTAACCCCTTCAAGTCCTCAGCAGTGTCCTGAACTATACCAGGCCAGGGGAAAGCAACAGTTGGTATGCTGGGAGCAACTAAACCACCCCCAAGTTTGATGATTCACTAGGAGGTTTCACAGGACTCAGCATACAGTTCCACTCACAGCTATGATTTATTACAGTGGAAGGATATTAAGCAAAATAAGCAAGGGGATAGCTTACATGGGATCAAGTCTGGGGAAAAACAACAGGAGGCTTACATGGTTTCTCTCCCAGTGGAGATACACTGAATGTGTTTTGAGTTGGGTCTTACACCAATGGCTATGAGTTGTCACAAAACATGCTAAGTTTCATCTACCAGAGAAGCTCATTAGAGATTCAATATCCAGGATTTTTACTGGGGGTTGGTAACATAGGCGTCCTCTGTCTAACATGCATCAAAATTTCACATTCTTGGAAGGAAGCAGATGATGTTCAGCACAAACCATACCAACGTAGTCAAATTTAAACACACAAGGTAGAGTTTCATATCTGGGATGGCATTATAAGGAGCTCTGCAGACACACTTCCTAATAAGCAAAGCTGGTGGGAAAAAAAAAAAAAATCCTAAAACTAAACTCTATGGCCATAGAATGAATGAAGAAAGATTTATTCAAGAAAACCTGCTAACACCTGATAAGAACAAAGAAAGTTTGTGACTTTTGAGCCATGACCCACTTCCTTCTTTCCCCACACAGTTCAGAGTGACAACAGCTACCATATCTCACCAGGAGTCAGGCTACCAGCATTCCTTCTCTCCCACTCAAAGTAGAAGAGGCAAATAAATCCCCGATGAGGATGACAGAGAGTCAAGGTCAGGGGCTCCTTTCCTCAAACTGGCCTTACTCATATGGAGGCTCTACCCCAGGGGCGACAAGACAA